GGCCGAGGTGATTATGTAAGCCAGGCACTGATAGAGAGTACACATGACGTCACCCAGGAACCAGCAGCCGTCTATGAGAACGATCTGAAAAGAGAACAAAAGGCCGACAAGGAAGTCCGAGACGGCCAGAGAGAGGAGGAGGAGGTTGTTGTGGGTGTGGAGCTGCCTGTGGAGGAAGAACAGAAACACATTAGCACTTCTTTCCCTTCCATCCTTATCGTTTATCAGTATGAAGAAACAGTTGGAATCAAACAGGAAAACAGGAAAAGGCTGTTACCTGAAGTGTGAGATGGATATGATGACCAGCAGGTTGAGAATCGCAGTGAGCAGAGAGATGGAGGACAGAGCAACTACAGTCACTATGACCTCAGACTGAGGACGCTGCAGCCTCCTGCAGGAGGTGTTGAGCTGAGGAAAGCAGAGCTCGGCCTCCTCCATCGTCACAGCACGACGGAACCACTGGACTCCAACAACTGTCTGACTGAGGCTTTATCAGCCTCCTCTCAGAGTTTCCCCCCTATCAGTGCTGTTTGGCTACCATGGAAACTGACGCTCTCTCACTGTGTTCCTCGTCTTTGGAGAATAATTCTCCCCAAACTAAGTGTGACGCACACAGAAAGTTTGGCCCCACGTTGGGACTCATTTTCATGGTTTGTGCTGTTTTGGGTCAGCTCTGACTTTCCGTTTCTAGTGTATTGGAGGGGTCAGACATGGCCACGACTTACGGTATCCTGAGGATTGAGGGGGCTCAGACGTGGTCAAAGTCATTAGCATTTTGTGTACAGGGAGGAGTCAGATGCGGCTGTAGTCAGCAGTAGCTTTCACAGGTGGAAGCACATTTAGCAGACACAAACCATTGTCATCAACTCTGACTGAATCCAAACATTTAAAATGCAAAGTTTTGATACAAATAAGATTGTATCAAACTGAGCTTCTGAACATGTTGGAACAGCTTTCAGAGAAGGCCACCGACATCAGTGTCAAAGCCAAAGTAAACCTGCCCACCTCAACCTGATATGTTATTGTGTTTCAACACTTCATTCACAGCTAAATACTATAATGTGAGCTGAGTTCAGGTGTATCTACATCATGCTGATGTCACAGGAATCAGGCCTCAGTATCTGAAGGGTCACAATGAGTTTAATTGATTTTCTTAACCAGGGGTAGAAAAACCCATTGATTATTGGGTTCAAACGGGAGTTAAAGAAGACCAAACATATGATAATCGTAGAAGATGAAGCATTGTATCATATGGCAACGAAAATCTCGTGGGATGGGTCAGAGGTGGCTGTATCAATTGTCTTGTGTATTGGGAGGGGTCAGACGTGTCCACGGCTACAAGTATCTCATGTATTGTGCATTGCCAGATGTGCCGGCGAATATCAGTATATTGTGGATTCGGAGAGTTGAGACATGGCCGTGATTTCCGAAATCTTGTCTATCGATAAGGGTCAGACGTGCCAATGAATCCAAGTATTTTATTATTTGGTAGGGGTCAGCTGTGGCCATCATTTCCTATATCTTTTGGAATGTGAAGGGTCAGATGTTCCCGGGAATACCAGTATCTCGATGATTGGGAGGGGTCAGACCTGGCCATGGTCACTACTATCATGTCGAATGAGAGGGGTTAGGCATGGCCGCAGTCACCAGTAAGTTGTTGATTTGTAGGGGTCAGATATGGCAATGTATACAGTATCTTGTGGGAGGGGTCAGAGGTTGCCGCAGGTTCAGTTGTATTGTCGATTGGTAGGGGTCTGGCGTGGCCACCGTAACATGTTGTGCATTAGGAAACATCAGATGTGCACGCGAATACCAGTATATCGTGGATTAGGAGGGGTCAGACGTGGCCACAATCTCAAATATCTTTTGGACTTGCAGGGGTCAGACGTGGACATAGTCACCACTGTCAGGGTTAAATCCAAAACATTATTAAAAACACAATGCAGGAGACGTTACTCTTTTGACTTGCAAGGAGAGAAGCGGAGCCTTTACAATCTCCACCATACTCTGACCAGACTCCGCTGCCTCCTCTCTTTTTATTAAGGAATGTTCCCTACGTTACTTGGACGTGCAGCCTCTAAGGGAGGAGATCACACAGGCTGCACGCAGGTGTAGCTTAATATTACATTATATCCAACATTATATCCAAGCTCCTTATCATGGTACAGTCAGGCACTTCAACAGGTGAGAACCGAGGAACTTGGCCTTCTCACACTTCTGCTCTCAGCTGCTGTTTTGCTGTAGACGCTGCACCTGGTTATTCAAATCTGCTTACACAAGCATATTTGTTATTCATTCCCTCACAATGAAAGTTCACAATGTTCTGATTGAGAGTACATAATGTTCTGATAACAAGAGGTTTAGAATGATAGATACGAAAAGAACATGGAGTGCAGGCGTCCTCCATTTTATATGATAACCTATGTACAGTGATTCCAACAACCACTGTGATGTTGAATGAGACGGGTCTGGCGTGGCCTAGGTCATCAATATCTTGTGGATTGGTAGGGGTCAGACCAGTCCATGGTTACTACTATTTTGTTGAATGAGAGGGGTCAGGCGTGGGCGCGGGCACCAGCATCTTGTTGATCCGTAGGGGTCACCTGTATGTCGTTAATTGGGTGTCATAAGATTTTGCAAAGATCACCAGTATCATGTCAACTGGGCGGGGTCAGATATGACAAAGTACACTAGTATCTCATGGGAGGGGTCAGAGGCCGCAGTTTCAATTGTCTTGTCGATTAGTAGGTGTCTGACATGGCCATGATTATTGATTTGTAGGGTTCAGCTGTGGCCACGATTTCCACTATCTTTTGAATTGGGTACTATTTTTGGATTGGGAGGGGTTAGACTTGCCCAGGGTCACAAGTATGTTGCGCATTGTGTAGGGTCAGATGTGCCCGCAAATACCAGTATCTTGTGTATTACAAGGGGTTAGTCAGGCCAAAATTTCAGATATCTTTATGATTGGTAAGGCTCACAAGTATCATGTCAATTGGGCGGGGTCAGATGTGGCAACGTACACCAGTATCTAGTAGGAGGGGTCAGAAGTGGCCACAGTTTCAATTGTGTTGTCAATTGATAGGGGTCTGACGTGGCCGTGGTCATCATTATCTTTTGTATTCGGAGGGGTCAGACGTGGCCAGGTCCTCTTTAGACTGCTTTCCTGCAGCTTTTAGTATTTTCTTTGCTTCAACACACCTTATTCACATTGAAACGTGCAAAATAGGTTCTATCAGAGATTTTAAACAGATCCATTTGATCAGAATCAGGTGTGAATATTAAGGGAAATGTTAAAACCTGCAGGACAAAGAGGACCAGCTTTGGAGAGCCCTTCTTCAGAGTGTGTCTGGTTTTCAGCTGATACATACGACCCAAACAAAGGGTTATGGGGCGGCCCTCTTTAAATCGTAAACCTTAAGACCAGATTGATCAAAAAAAAAAGGCACTGAGTTCAGGACTGACAGCAGATGTTAGCAGCTCAGTTTTAATGGATTCTTGCAGATTGAATGTGACATACATCGAAAATGTGCAAATAAACAGTATTATTGTGTTAGTCTGGATAAACTGGACTTTAAAAACACATTTATAACGTTGCAGGAAGCTCATTTGGCAGAAATAAATGATCGGCATCAGTGCCAAAGCAAAAGTAAATCTGCCCACCTCAACCTGGTATGTTAATGTGTTTCAACACTTCAGGTGTCTCTACATCATGCTGATGTCATAGGAGTCAGGCTTCAGTATCTGAAGGGTAGTTTAATTGATTTTCTGAAGCAGGAGTAGAAAACCACATGGACTATGGGGTTCAAACAGGAGTTAAAGAAGAACAGACATATGAGAAACACAGTAGATGAACCATTGAAAGAGCTTTCTTGGCCTAAGAATAAAGAAAAAAAACATCAGGCATCTCAAATAAAATGGCTCAAATCTCTTTTTTTTACCTTCATTCTGTGTGTGAAAAGTGCTGTGTTGCATTTGTAAAATCAGTGAACTGCAACAGAAACATATAATATAATTTCTGCGGACCACACAGTCATTTTAAGGATTCAGCTGAGATAAAATTCTCTATGTCCTCCCTTTCATGAACAAAAAGCAAAAGAATTAAGCCTTCTTTTTTCATCTGGAACTTTTCTGGCTTTGCAGGGAGTCCAAATGTACAACAAACTAATATCAAAACAAAATTGAATGTAATACTCAGCTTCGTGGGCTACAAGTCAAAGTCTCCTTTGCTTTAGATTTCATAGTAAATGTACCGATACTGCAGTGGTGAAATACTTAGTATGAATTAAGCACACATTAAAAACTGATTTTCACCCAGAACAGTAGCCTCGTTGATGCTGAAGCATCTGCAAACTACATCAAGTTAAAGTCACAGGAGTCAGGCTTCAGTATCTGAAGGGTCACAATGAGCTTGATTGATTTTCTGAACCAGGGGTAGAAAAACACATAGATTATGGGGTTCAAACAGGAGTTAAAAAAGAACAGATATATAACAAAGGATGCAGATTCTGTACTTAGAGAGCTATCCTGGCCTGAGAGGGCGACACAGTAATATGGACACAGGCAGACAAGAAATACAACCACAACAATCCCCAGAGTCCTGGCTGCTTTCAGCTCAGACTTGTTAACAGTTACTGAGCTCTGGAGGTGGGTGGCAGCGATGTGAGAGCGCATGGCCCGAGCCTGAGACACCGCCACCACAAACACCCTGAGATACAGAACTACTATCACAGTGATTGGAACGATGAAAGAAAAGATCATATCTACGTATCCCGCTATGTAGTTCACAGTAAGCACACACTCCCCGAGGCAGTAGTCAAACTTGTCAGGCTGCTTCAGGTTATCCTTCAGAATCAGACTCTGAAACACCACAGAGCAGATCCAACACACACAGACACAGATTTCCACTCTTTTCTGTGTGACTTTGGTAGAGTAATGCAGAGGGTGGCAAATGGCCACATAACGGTCAACAGAAATTATCACCATGGTTCCTACGGAGGCCGAAGTGACAATGTAAGATAAATACTGATACAGAGTACACATGATATCACTCAGGAACCAGCAGCCATCCATGAGCACGATCTGATAAAAGAACAAAATTAGGCCGATAAGGAAGTCAGAGACAGCCAGAGAGAGGAGGAGGAGGTTGGTGGGGGTCTGGAGCTGCCTGTGAAGGAAGAACAGAAATACATTTATTTCTCTTCCATCATCATTGTTCACAGCTTTATCGTTCATCAGAAAGCAGAAGCATTCGGAGTCAAACAGGAAAACAGGAAAAGGCTGCGCTGTTACCTGAAGTGTGAGATGGAGATGATGACCAGCAGGTTGAGAGCTGCAGTGCCTAGAGAGATGGAGGACAGAGCAACATAAGTCATTATGAGCTTGGACTCAGGATACTGCAGCCTCCTGCAGGAGGTGTTGAGCTGAGGAAAGCAGAGCTCGGCCTCCTCCATCATCACAGCACGACGGAACCACTGGACTCCAACAACTCTCTGACTGAGGTTTTATCAGCCTCCTCTCAGAGTTTCCCCCCTCTCAGTGCTGTTTGGCCTCTATGGAAACTGACGCTCTCTCACTGTGCTCCTCGTCTTTGGAGAATAATGCTCCCCAAACTAAGTGTGACGCAACACAGAAAGTTTGTCTCCACGTTGGGACTCATTTTCATGGTTTTTGCTGTTGTGGGTCAGCTGTTAGGGTTCAGGTCCGAAATGGCCACGATGTCCATAATCTCGTGGATTCGTAGGGGTCAGACATTGCAGCGTTTACAAGCATGTCTGTATTGGGAATGGTCTGATATGGCCAACATTCATAGTATCTTCTCTTTTGTAGGGGTCAGACCTGGTGACAGTGACCAGCATTTCGTTGATGTGAAAGGGTCAGACGTGTTTATGGTCAGTAACATGTTGTGGACTGGCAGGGATTGTAAGTGCCTACAGTTACCTATCTAGTGGACTGTATGGGATCAGACTTTTTTTCATGATTTCCAGTATTTCGTAGACTGGGAGAGGTCACACTTTGACCCATTTACCAGTATCATGTGGATCGGTATGGGTAAGATGTGGTCGCAGTCATCAATATGTCGTGTATAGGGACGGGTCAGATGTGGTCGTAGAATAGAATTGATCACTTTATCCATCCCCAAAGGGAATTTTGGTCAAAGGTAGCAAGCTCCCAATGTGGGATTTGAACTCATAACCTAGCGATTAAGAGTCTCATGCCCTAACAACTGAGCTAACCAGGTTAGCCGTCAGCACTTAGTGTATTGGGAGAACTCATGAATGGTGGCATTTATCAGTATCTCCTGTATAGGGACGGGTCAGACGTGGTTGTAGTCATCAGCATCCCATGTCTAGGGACAGGTCAGACGTGGTTGTAGTCATTAGCATTTCATGTCTAGGGACAGGTCAGACGTGGTTGTAGGCATCAGCATCCCATGTCTAGGGGCAGATCAGATGTGGTCGTAGAATAGAATTTATCACTTTATCCATTCCCAAAGGGAATTTTGGTAAAAGGTAGCAAGCTCCCAATGTGGGATTTGAACCCACAACCTTGCGATTAAGAGTCTTATGCCCTACAGACTGAGCTAACCAGGTTAGCCGTCAGTACTTAGTGTATTGGGAGAAATCATAACTGGTATCAGTTATCAGTATCTCCTGTATAGGGAGGGGTCAGACGTGGTTGTAGTCATCAGCATCCCATCTCTAGGGAAAGATCAGATGTGGTCGTAGAATAGAAATGATCACTTTATCCATCCCCAAAGGGAAATTTGCCTAAAGGAAACAAACGCCCAACATGGGGCTCGAACCCACGACCCTGAGATTAAGAGTCTCATGCTCTACCGACTGAGCTAGCCAGGCTACACATTCTCAACTCGTGTATGGGATCATATCATATAATATTTGAGTATTTCGTAGATTGGGAGTGGTAACATTTTGCCAGAGTTACCAGTATCTTGTGGAACACAAGGGGTCAGAAGTGGCTGTTGTTTCAATTGTGTTGTGGATCAGGTGGGAAGAGACTCTTCTTACATTACCAGTACAAGTATTGTATTGGTAGGGTTCAGTCATTTCCAGTATCCCGTCTACTGGGAAGGGTCAAACATGGACCGTTGTCATCAATATCTCTTGGATTCAGAGCGGTCAGAAATGACCATGGTCAGCAATAACTCATAGATAGGAAGGGGTCAGACATGGCCCAAGGTTCCAGTGTCTCGTGGATTGTGATACACTTTTTCACAGTTCCCAGTATCTTGTGGATTAAGAGGGATCAGATGTGACCAGTATCCCCTTTACTGGTTGTGACCAAACGTGGCTACGTTTACCCATCTGATGGATTGTATTAGACCAGTGCTTCTCAAATAGTGGGGCGGGCCCCCCTTGGGGGGCGCGATGCGATACCTGGGGGGGCGCGTGTGAGCCTGGGGAACAGGTTTTTTTTTTTTTTGGGCCGTACTAGTTTAAAGTGTAATTGCGCATCCACTCCAGTAGGGGCAGTGGCGCTCTCATCGCTACTTCGGTGCAACATTTTATGACTTAAAGAGGACAGGTTAGCCTCGGTTAGCATCTCCGACTGTTCTGTCTGTAGCCTCCGTTATTCAGCATAACGGAGGCTATGTTTCCAACATGAAAAAGTTTTTAACGGGGATGAAAAGAAAAGCGGAGAGAGACAAAGATAATGAGACTAAAGAAAGTCACCCAAAAGCTAAGTGTTTTATATATTGTGCTCCTGAGTTAATGTTGCTTAACTGAAGTTATTATTTTTGTTGTTTTTGTAGTTTATTATTATAATTATTAAATATTATTTATTGATTTTTATTTAATTTTGCAACGGTGCAATTAGTTGGTCAAACATGTTTACAGTTTAAATAAGGACTTATTTATTTTAATTTCAGGCATTGACGCACTTAAAATCTTTTCTGTTGCAGACTTAAAACACGATTTAATAAAGTTGTAGGTTTGACCATATGTCTTTCTTTTTTTCTTTTCTTTAATGTTAATAAGGATAAAATGTTATGCAGAGATGGATAGTGACGGTGGGGAGTGGGGGGGCGCGAAACCTTTTTTTCTTGCTAGGGGGGGCGCAACAGAAAATAATTGAGAAGCACTGTATTAGACCATGATTTCAAGTCTTTCGTTGATTGGGAGCGGTCAGATGTGGAAATGGTCATCATTATTCATCAGAGTTTTGCTCAGCTGTGATGGAGGCCTGGACAAAAGTCTTTTTCTCTCTTTACACTAGAGGTTTCCAACACAGATCCTCTTTGAACCACAGTCCTGCAGCTTTTAGTAGTTTCTCTGCTTCAACACACCTAATACACCTCAAAATGTGCTCAGTAGGGTTGTGCAGATATTTTGACACTGCTTCAGAGTGTGTCTGGTTTTAGGCTGATGCATACGACCAAAACAAAGGTTTATGGGGTGGCCCTATTTAAATCATGTCCCATAAAAACAGATTGATAAAAGAAAAAGGCACTGAGTTAAGGACTGACAGCAGATGTTAGCAGCTCAGTTTTAATGGATTCTTGCAGATTGAACGTGACACACATAAAAAACATGCAAGTTAAAAGTATTATTGTGTTGGTCTGGATAAACTGGGCTTTGAAAACACATGTATAATGTTGCAGGGAGCACATTTAGTAGAAAGAAACCACTGTCAACAACTCTGACTGAATACAACAATTAAAGTGCAAATGGAAGCTTAAAAATAAATAAGATCTTATCAAACTGATCTTCTGAACATGTTGGAATTAAAACAAGAGTTTTCACAGAGGGCCATCTGGCATCAGTGCCAAAGCAAAAGTAAACCTCAACCTGGTGTGTTGTTAATGTGTTTCAACACTTCATTCACAGCTAAATACTATAATGTGAGCTTGGTTCAGGTGTATCTACATCATGCTGATGTCAGAGGAGTCGGGCTTCAGGATCTGAAGGGTCAGAATGAGTTTAATTGATTTTCTGAA